AAGGAAATGGAAAGAAACGCGAACCGGAAGTAGCAAGCTTTAGCTTCCGCTTCGTAACGCATTAGTTACTGGCGTGTAATACGAAATTTAGACAACAAAGAATCTCCAGACAGATTTTATTAATGAGAGATATCGTATCTTGCTTGCGTTTCTCTAATAACATTTTTACACAAACCAAGTCCGACTAGATACGATTAAACGAGTCCACTAATTGCAATTAACGTAACACGTTGCATTTTAAGATGTTACGTGTCCGATTATGTTCCGACATAATTATGGGCAATCCGTTATTTTCACTTATAAAAAGGAAAAAAGAAACACGAACAAGAGGAGACTGTAAAATACTAGACAAGGAATACTTGCCTACCTTTGCATTCACTAGAAACGGTGCCGTTATTCGTCCGGAATTTATAGTACTTGCATCTGTCTACATCTTCCATCAATTGAAAAATCTCTTGCTTTACAATCCTTCTGCATTTTCTCAATTCTTCATATTTAATATGTACAAATCTAGAAAATAGAGTAATGTATAATATACTAACCATGTATAATGCACAATAAAAATAATTAGACTTAATTATGTTTATAAAAATTCATACTTTTATAAATATAATTAATAAAATAGGTACTCTACTTTGAATATTTTCACATATCTTTACATATAATATGTATTATATGCATTTTTGTATCTTCAAATTTTCCATAATTGCATAAAACTGCGCAGTTTTGTAATAATATACAGTGACGCAAAAATAGTAAAATATCAAATTGTACGTTTGGAAAGAAACTACACAAAATGGTAGAAAAATTGCAGATTATGTAGTAGTAGAGTAAGTGCAGTGTAACCTAATGTGTAGAGTGAATCAAATCTTTTGCTTTATAATCCTTCTGTGTCTTCTTGATCTTTTATATTTAATATTTATGAATCTAAAAAATAAAATAATGTATAATATGTAATAATAATATATAATAATGCAAAAATGTTAAAATTTCAAATTTATACGTTTGAAAAGAAATAACAAAGAATGATAGAAAAATGGTAGGTTGTGAGGTGGCAAAGTAAACGTAACGTACTGTAGTATAGAGTAAATCAAATCCAATTTGAAATTTTCCATGCATTATATGCATTATATGAAAGAATTTTCAACGTTTAAATTCCGACGTTTCTGCCAATATGCATTGAAAGCGTCGCGAGGAGCATTCGATATCGATATGTTTGGTCGATAGACGCGCACACTCGAGTGCGCGTATCACGTTTGTGTACACAGGCTTCGTTCGATTCTCGGTAACACGATGACAATGAACCGACTCGTTCGCTGACACTTGCAGATTCTCGCTTCTTCTTGTTTCCGATATATCCGACGCTCAATCATTGTTCAACCGAGAATAAAGAAAATGGGCTAAAAGTTGCAGCAAGTATCGCGATTCGGAGCGATATACAGCTGTATATCGTTTACATATGTCACGAAAGTATTCTTACACTTTTTATGAACATATTACGTGTGTTATACGAAACATTTAAAAATTTCATTAATGTCGAAATGGCATCCAACTATCATGATTATATTGATAAAACCATAAATGATTTTGGAAATGTATACAACAGTTCCAAATACTTAAGATAAGTATATATTTTACAGGGATCACAAAAGTATAAACAAGTAATCGTCAGCAACATTAGCAAGTCTCAGTATTTAATGAGATCATTTTCAATTATTAATACACAGTACATGTTTAAGATAATAAATAAGGTAATAAATACATTTTATATTTGACATATTTTATTTAGTAAACTACATTAATTTTTTACTAAATATAACTTTATATTGAATATTTTATAACTTCTATATATTTTTTCAGACTGAATTCAAATTTTTCCAATATAATTTTTGCACTTTTAAATTTCCCATAAATATATAAAAAGCTGCATTCTGTCAGTATGAAGAAAATAAACAATTTTTTAAGAAAAGATTCGGCAACTTACATGTATGTAGATGGCAAAAACTCTAACTCTAGTTAAATCTTTCTTAACTTTTGCTACGAATTTTTCGAGCAACCTTAATATTTGAATACTTACCATAGGAAACTTGTACGTATATATTGTGTATATTATATAAAATATCTTGAAATTTCGTTAGAGATAGTTTAAGAATAATTGGATTCTGTTTTGTTATGAATATAACTTGTTCGTTTTCTGGGCAGCTTTTGTTCAACTGGACGGTAAACAAAAACATATCGTGTTCATGGACAAAACCCGACAGGTCATTTCAGATTGTAGTTCTAGTTGTTGATGTCAGTTTTATAATTGGAAATTCTTCTGGACATCGATATTCAAACGAAACTCTTGCGGGTAGCAAAGTACAAATAAAAGAGATTGTTACTTTTAGATTAGGGACGGAAAATTTGTGTTATAAAATCTTATAATTACTTAAATAGTTATAAATTTATTTGTGACGTTTTTGGATATTAACAAGTAATCTATCGAGGTTATATTATACAAATTATTTTTGTAATTAAAATATATGTAATTATAATACACAGTTATTATATCTTATTTAATCAATGATACACAATTGATGTTATGAAATATTTTTGTTAACATAAAGAAATGTTTGCTTGTTTCAGATTGAAGAGTACAACACATCATCATGTCGAATCCGTCGTTGAAAGACCTGCCAAAAGTAGCCTTAGACTTGAAAAGCGAGTTAGAAGGTTTCAATCATGGCTGTATGAAGAAAGCCGCGACCGCTGAAAAGAACGTTCTACCTTCCGCTGAAGGTACAACGCAAATATTTGTTACTTCTCTCTCCCAAAATCATTGTATTACAGAATTATTTGAATGTAATTCTTACGATTCAATATCCTGTAACTTTATAGACATATAGAGCTCTAATATTAATAATTTTGTTTCTGAAAATTATCGATTATAATGCATGTAATACTGTAATATGTAGACGTGCGACAAGAACGACAACATTCTGAATTAATCCACGATGTGGAGACGTTTAAACCAGATCAATTGAAACATGCCGATACGAAAGAGAAGATCATATTACCCAATGCCAAAGGTATCATAGAAACTTATCTGATTTTTAGGGGAATACTTGATTCTCAGATTCCCTGCTTCTACTTTGGACGGGATCAAAAGGAGGGTATGCTGTTGCTTTTGGTGCTTCGAGGTGACCAAAATATACGTGACCAAACCAAGCTTATTCACTTTCGCTTTCAGCCGCTTAGAAGGAATTGTTTTGCATGTCCAATTAGGTTGTCAGTTGTCGGTAGTCTTGTACTCTGTACTGCGTCCACGATAACAACACGATGTTACGTCCACTATCGCGATAAACATTTTTTTGAAATATCCCAATAACAATAAGGCTTTAATGTTCATTGCTAGAGGAAACTATTTAAAAATAATATATACACTTTCTTTGCATTAATAAATAAGTTCTCTGTAAAAAATTTATATTTATTCGTAATTCTGATAAAATTGGGCAACTACAATGGTTTTAAAATAATTTCATGGTACAGCGACACAGTGAAATTGTTACATAAATATATAGTTGGTGTAATTTCACTGGTTTCCACGGTGACCTTACCTTCACCGTTTTCATAGTTTTCTCTTACATATTTCATATTCCATTCTTTAATCTCGATTTACGCCTTACAGATGTAGCTGCGGAGAAGACTCAACAAACGCTTATGTCAGGCATCGAGACATTCGACCCAAGCAGTCTGAAGCACACCGAAACTCAAGAAAAGATTTTCCTACCTGATATGGATGGTCAGTATTGTATTTCATGACTTTCATATATTTTGTTTACCTTTCATAATTTTTGAGAGAAATTATTAATTTGATCCAAGGAAAATGTTAACAAATCAAATTTTTCTGTGCAGTGATTCAGCAGGAGAAAGAAAAGCAAGAGCTGATCTCTGACATTGAGAATTTCAATCCCGCAAAATTGAAACACGCGGAAACGCTTGAGAAAAATCCCTTGCCTACCAAAGAAGGTGAGCTAGAATTCGAAGTAAATATATTATTAATAAAAGACAATATTTTTCTTATCAAGATGATGTTTCTTTTTGTTTTAGCAATCGACGCAGAAAAGATAGCTGCTTAAAGGAAGCTTTTAAAACGAAAAGAACGGAAAAGAAAGGAAGCAGCGACTCGTCATTTCTTCCATTTTCTATATCGTGACATTTTATAACAATTATTCATACATTGTCGACAAGAAAAAAGGAGAATGCGAAACACTGTGTTAATGTAATCTTATGATTATACTTATCCTACCGCCATGAGCGTCCCTTTCGGCGAGACGCACAAGTCGATTTTTACACAAAACTATTAACAACGGAACGACGATGAAGGTTCAGGTCCAAATTTAATTTAAAAGACAAGAAAAAAGAAAAAAATATGCGATAAAACTCCACAAGCCATTGATCTGATTCCTAAAGTTACCAGCCTTAAATAACTTTGGGCTTGCATCGACATCCGTCTTTAATACTAACTCGCCAAAGGATGTACTTTTTATACTAAGAAAGCTGCACGCAGGCAAAACGTTATTTTCGATAGCAACAAAATTGGTAGCATTGCATGCGTTACAGAATATCGCAATGGTACAGCGGTTGATCTTATATTTCTGTAAAAATCATATTTTATATAAGGGGCTATTGTACTTTTTTAATATTTCGTACACATCGCATTGTCATTCCGATGAAAATTATGACGAATAAAAAAGTAATTTGTAAGAAGGTGTTTTGTAATATTTGAACCTCTTTTGAAGTTTTTTTTATCGAGTTTAGTATTAATTAAATTTATATATAAAAGAGTAATGTATAAGAATTATTATTTATATAATGTATCTTGGAAAATACTCCTTTCGAACCGTCGCGCGAAAATACAAACAAAGGAAATGTGTTCACTAAAGGTCCTTTGGAAATATAAACACAACCAAAAGTGCCAAATGAAAGATTATGATTGGTTGAAAAGATCTTTTCGTCCAATAGTCTTAGAGAAATCTATCTTAATAGGAAGCTAATGAAGAGAACCTGTTGCTAGTCCTTTGTTAGCCATGCTACGACGATAATTGCAAAGTAACAGTTACGTTGTACGATTTAAAAAATTTTTGTGTGGCTCGATAATCTCGAATCGAAGAAATTCCTCGACCTATTAATTATTTCTCTTCAAACAGGTACAATTCTGTTTACAACTAACTTTTTGTCTTTTATTTCCACAGTAAGTATTCATGATTAACGATAGACAAAAACATCTTTTCGTACTTTCCCAATAATGGAAGTTATTATCATGAGTTGATAAAAAAAAAAATCTTTAGAATTTCGCAATATTTAGACGGCTACTTACGATTATTACTTTGTTATGTTTAACGAAAATACGCGTAATTCGTATTTTTAATAAAAAAGAAAAATAGTTTCATTATTTCTTTTAGTGATATAAGATGGAAATATCTCCTAGAAAACCATTGAAACGTACGCAAGAACCTATTGATGAATGGTTACAAAATGAAGGATATTTCAGGAAACATGCACCTAGAGATCCAACTTGCTTGTTCAGAGCAGTTAGCGAACAAGTTTACTTGACACAACACTATCATATAAGAGTAAGAAAAGAATGTGTGGAGTTCATGAGAAAAACAAAACATTTATTTTCGGAGGTGGATATGCTGTATTTGGTTAATTCTTAATTAATATCTATATAAACATTTTAGTTAATAAGTATTCTTTTGTAGGGTATATCGATTCCATTTGAAGATTATTTAGAACAAATGATATGTTTTACGGAATGGGGTGGCATGACTGAAATCCAAGCTATGTCATTACTTTATAAAAGAGAATTCATTATATTTAGTAGTCAAAAGCAAGCGAATCATAATGTTACAAATAATGGTTTTAAGGATATAATATATTTATGCCATACACCACAAAAACAGTATGAAAGTATTTATACAAAGGACTTTGTTGCAAACGCTGCTTTTTGTCAATGTATGTGTTCTATTAGATTTTTAATATTTTTTTATTTATAATATAAATATAAATTATAAATATTTTATAAATTATTTGTAGCTATTGTCTATCAAGTGTTATATAAAGATGTTTTTCAAATGGCCAATATAGAGGGTACTGTTCATAAAATGTTACATGATAGAACAGCTACATTTAGACATGATAAGTTTTTCCTTAAAGGCAATCTAGAGATCCGAGAGTAAGTCAAATAATAATTATGTCATTAATACATGGTTCAAAATGTTATTGTAGATTCAATTTATTTATGTTTAGCCAATTAGCTGCAGAGATATATAATAAAATTGACAATGGAACTGATGAGGTTGATGATGCACGGGCCATAATAAAAAATATACCACCTTTTCCTTATAGAATTGCTAAAGCTCTTGATCCCAATATCTATCGTAATACTGACTTTGATATATGGCATGAAATTAGAAGAGGTAACAAAAATTGATTTGTACTAAAAATATCATAATTTCATTAAAAGAAGAAAATAAATCGTATTTTAGAAGTGAAAAATGCAGGATGGACTAGGCACAATAGTCATGAACTCCAAATTGGTGGCAAATGTTTGGTACAAGTGGACTTTAATGAGGAAGATTTTGACAAAACCAATAATAATAGCATTTATGTGTCTTCTCTTGGAAAGGATGTTAATGATAATGATACAAAAATATTGCAAAAGAAAAGCAGTGATCCCATATTTTACTATGGACATATTCAAGAAATGGGTAAAAGTCAGGGACCTGTATTAGTCTTTATTGAAGAGTTAGGAGAAAAAAGGATTGTGCCATATTCAGCTCTTAAACCATTACCCCTAAAGAAAAATAAACAGGCCAATTGGCTACCAGTCTGCAAAAAGAATCTACTCTTAGATTCAAGTTAGTACTTAGAAATGAATTAAACGTATTAGAAACAAATTTTTATATTTTTTGTAAATATTTATTCTGTGTTGTAATAGATCAAAAATGGAGAAAAGCATGCAGTGCATCATCGCGTAAAACTAAAGACTCTAATATGAACATTTTATCAAATAATATTGATAAAAATGAAAATAATGATAATATTGTCAGTGATATTAATGAGAATAATTTTCAGTGGAAGGAAGGATCACTGTAAGTATCTTATCATGATAATTATTTAATAAATCTATCTTTTTCTTCTGTATTACAAGTCCCTATTTTATTGTAGAAAAGTGGATCATCAAGAATATGAGAATTATTCAATGGATAAGTGTGCTAATTATTCAATTGATGTAAGCTATAAAAAATTGTTTAATTATTGTAAAATCCAAATGCGTGTAAATTATTATAGCAAAATATTTTCTTTTATAGAATTCTGTTGAAATGTTTCCTACAAAAATGGTTCTGGATAACACTCAGTCTTCTACAATAGATATCGGAAGGCAAGAAAATAATAAAGAACGTAAAGAAAAAGATTCATTCTCGCATAAAAACTCTGAAAGTAATTGTATAAGAAATTCAAAATCTGATAGTGCAACGAATAATGATAATAATGTCAGTTTTAACTCGTATTCTAAACAAAAGATGCAGAAAGATATATATTACACACCATATGCTGGTATGTAATTAAAGACAAAACTTACTTAAATTATCATTGTTATTTCTATGTCGTGAATTGTTTATGTTTTTTTTTTAATATTTCAGGAGATTCTAATGCTCAAATAGATCATATGCTACGTTCTATTAATTGTTCTGTACAAAAAAGTATTGATGTAAATGGTAGTGATTTGCCGCTATCAGGTAATTGTGCAAATTACTTTTATATACATAACTTGATAATAAATTTCATAAATAACCTTTTTTGCATTCCTGTAGATCCATTCACATTGAGATTTTTTTACAATTTAGGATTAGAGGTAAGGATCAATTGTTACAAACTAATTCGCAGCTATATATTTATTTATTTCAAACTATTTTGTAGTATTTTCGTGGCGGTGCTAATTGGAATTATTTAACAAATGTACAGTCGCCTGATTTTGGACAGTGGTATCAAGGTATGTTATCTCTATATTTCTTATATTATATTAATCTTACTTATTATATTAACCTTATATTTATTCATTTGTCAATTGAAAAGGTGCATCTCCGAATGAAGAAGAAATTACAAATATCACGAATATGATCCAAGATTGTACACTTACGCAACAAAAGAAAGAGCCTAACAATGATCAGAAAGAAATTGGCACTCAATCACTGTACCAAGAAAACGAAAATAGATACGTAAATGATATCAAAAATACACAGATTCAGAAGACTGAAGTTCAAAGAGGAAATGATGCGAAAGAAACATCGTATTCGTCTCGCGATAATAAATTAGAATATGCAAATAAGGAATCTTCTCGTTTAAATAGAAATGGATTAGGTCCACGATATAAGAAAAATTCAGAGAGTAAGTAATAGACAGTTTGAATAATTATATCCGTATGCACAATTTTAATAAATACTTGTCTTTTATATAGATCGACATCGATCTGCTTCGCATTTTTCTAATCAGTATTCAAGCAACGGATCAAATTCTAAACTTTCCAAATTGGATAGAGATGCAAAAGAAGATAGTATGAATGTTCAACCTTCACAATCAATACATCAGCAGCTACACACTCCTGCAAATGCAATGAATACTTATCAAGCTTCTTACATGCAACAAGGCATGTATTCCGGACTGCCGTATTATGGCAATGAAGCGGAAGCATTCGCAAATCCTTACTATTCCCTTAATCCAAGTTTTATACCAATCCCGTGCTTATCACATTCTGATATACATGACAACAACAATGTGCAGCCGTTCTCGCCGCATCTGTGTCCTGGAATAGATTACGCACAAGCTTATTCTGGCCTATGTCCGCCGTACTTATGCCCTCCGCCAACCCCATATAATATACCTCCACAAAATATACCTGAACACTGGTATGCTGTTGCTGGTCAACCACATTATATGCAATATGCACCAGTTTTATCTGTACCAGCGGAAACAACTTGCTCCGGGGTAGTACAAAATGCTAATCAAAACGTTCCTTCTTAAAAGTATTTTGCAGTTACTACATATATCATACAACTAGGTTTTCCTTAACCAGTGTTCTTGCATATGAAACGATTCGTCAGATTCTGTGAAGGTATATATGTAAAAAAGTTCTTATTATTTCTATATAACTTATAGTTTTATGTAGTTCTAAATTAAGCTAGGATTAAACGCGAAGATAAGACATAACTGCATAATCTTAATAAGTCATTGTTAACTGTATGATCAATATCATTAACACATTTAGGTACATAAAGATATATTATAAAAAGAGTTTTACGAACTATTAAGAAATATAGTACGTATATAGTATTACAAATTACACTACAAGTTTAATTTCGATGTAGCTTTCGTGATAGATTATATCATTAAAGAATGATAGTATAAATTATTTATCTTCGATATTGGTAGTTGCAATACCTGTATAATAACATTCATTATATTCTTCATTTGGTATAGCCTTGTTACGGTACATAAGCCGCTCAAATAACAGTTTCTGAAATTTTATGCAGGTGACGTTCTAGTTCATTAATATATTTGGCCGTTCATACTTCTATACTTCATTTGTTAAAACAATATTTTTCCCTAATAAAAAGCAATACAATAAAAAATGAATATTTATCTTTCCATTTCCGTGAAATAAAATTCTAATTGTTATTCGATCGTTATTAAATTTGAATTAAATTTCGTCCTCCTGCGTTGCTGCCAACTAATCATACGTAACGAACAAATGTCCCTAGAAGTGCTTTTGTTTCACTTCGAATACTCAATTTTATATTTAACGTAGAAGAAATATAATAAATATTTGTAATTGATTTAATAAAAAAGATTTATAATCTCTCTTTTTCTTGGTCCTTTTATTATTATTTGTAAGAGTTAATTGCTTTCGGATCAGTCTTAAAATCTCTACCATCGAATGGGTACAGTTCTAAACCGGTGAAGAAGGTGCGCGCTCGAGATCTTTCAATATACAACACCGTGGTTCTGTTCGCTGTATTCCACGCCATGACTAAAATTTGTTGGAAGAGTAGGAGTGCAGTAGCTGTGACAGGTCAAACGGTGAATAGCGAAATTACTTAATATTCACTCGTTCGAAGGATTTCTCGTATCGTAACAACGTTGACAGATTTATCCTCGGTTCGTTATTTCTGTTTCGTGAATTATCGGTAGCCGCGAGGATTTGCTATTTTCGTAGGAACTGCAGAACTTGGAAGACAAGAGGAGAGCAAGCGCAGAAACTGAAAAGAATGGAGGTTGGTTACGATTAATTATTTCGAAATTTATGTCCGTATGATCGATAACACTGTATCCTTTGGAAACGCAATGTACATACCCTGTGTCATGTTACTCCTGAAAAAGAAAACATTCATTGTTGTTCCTGGTATATTCGTTATTTCAGTTCTTCTAATTAGATAATTAGTAAATTAAATAATTAATCGTCGAATGCACGCATGTTCTCCTGACGTGTTATTTGCTATTATATGGTGATTGTTTTCTTATCTTTGATTAAATAATAATCACGTTCATATTGTATTTTTTAATTTTTGTGTATTCATTGTGACATAGAATGTAGCGCGATAAATTAGATTTTTCATAATTGTCTTTGAAAATCATTTAATTTCATAAAGGACACAGGATGTCTTGGGAGAACTTTAATGAATAACTTTACTAATATGTTTGATAGATCATTGTCAATCAAAAAAGTTTTACATGCTATATTGTTTCATTCGTTTTCCAAATAATCGTTTATTCTACCAAGTACCATATAAAATGCAAACTAAAGATAAACGGCAGAGTGTTTATGATGCTTAGTCTGATTTTAGATACATATGCATGACTAATACAAATAACATGTATTACAAGTGACAGCATCGGAAATGAAATTTCTAGAAAGAAATGGCAAGAATCATTAAAATATCAAATAAATTTATATTTATAGAATAATATGATCTGTTTAGTTCAGATTAAGCTACCAAATATACTAGTAAAATTATGTGGTTTCTTCTTGGCACACCCTGATGTTTATTCTGCTATGTATTTTTGTACATATATTGTGATTATAGGTGGATGAATGTTCAGCTGGTGGTGATAGTGGAGCCGAAGAAGATGAAGATGATGCATCTTCTCATGGATCTAGAAGTAATAGTAGTAGTAGCAGTATAAGTGGAAGTAGTACTTCAACCGATAGCGGAGATGATAGTGGAGAAGAACATGGCACAAGTGGCAGTGAAAGTCATAGTTCTGGTGAAGAAGATGAAGATGAAAATGAGAACACAGAATACTCTGTCAAAGCGGAGAGTCCAGATACTTTGGTGCTGTCTGAAATTTCATATTTTGTGGAAATACATTTTTGTTAACAAAAATTTCGTTTCTAGAAATGGGAAACATGTATTGCTGTAAACACTAAGATAAAATTACCACAAGATCTTTGCGAACATGTAGCTATTTTCAAGGAATTTCTGGATTATCCTTATATTTGGAACGAATGCCTTACCGAAAATCAAAGAGAAGCTCTTTGCAACCTTTTACCAGCTTTCCCAAAAGACTGCGATGTAGAAGCTGAAACAGAGAAAACATTGCGTATGTTATTCGAACGTGAAAATCACAGGTTAGATGCAACTAATTATTTCCAGTAATTTTTTGAAAGAAATCTATTTTTTTTATAATATTGTTTTTATATTTATCTATATCAGATTTGGTGTAGCACCTTTGGATGCATTTCACAGTCATCTATCTGCTGGTCATTACCGCCCAGATATTAGAAGAATGTGTAGTTTAGTCCGTAAGGCACAGCAGAGAAGATTACTATTCGAGGAACGGAAAAGATCTTATGAACTAGCCAGTCAATTACTGAAATCTAGAGAAAGTTTGCTGTCTAACGCGTATAAGCAAGGTTTTTGTCAACCAGCGCAACGCACGGTGTCAAAGGTCCAATGGAGGAAACCAAAACCTGCTATGGGTAAGTTAAGCTTCTGCTGTGATTGATTGTAAAAAATTTTCTGGCTGTTTATACTTCCCCCACACTCCAGCCGTTTGGCAGAGAAGTATGTAGTAACTTCCGAGGGGCAATACTAACAAGCAATGAACCGACAGTTGAAGAAAAAACGCAACTGCGCTATTTGGAGGAACTGAATGCACTGAGGACAGAGCTCGGAGCGAGCGCAAAGTTAGCGGCCGACACAACGTCCGAGAATGAAGAGAACTATCCGCACTATCAAATGTCCGGCGCTAAGCAGAAGAAGAAGAGACGCACTTTGGTTGGAGTTCAAGGATTGTCCATTCGGGGTTTGCAATTAGATCATCTGCTTGAGTTTACTCGACCTGTTTTCTCCACGCTGCAACGAGCGGAATATGCCACGAATAGGTCTCTATTTATTCGCGAACAGACCGAGGATACGTATCGCGAAATGTTACTTGAACATAAAAAGAGAAGAGCTCGGCGTGATGTACGTGAAATAATTTTTTAAGAAATTAAGTTGTGTGAATAAGAAATTCAATCATATTAGAGTACTAATGTTTATCATATTTTTTTAGGTTCATCCGGAATTAAATACACAAGGTATCGCTCTTGCTGACTTAACTCAAAGAGCACAAATTGGACAGAAGCACAAAATATCAGTTGGCCCTACCATACGTATCACACCAGCGAAGAAACGTATGAAATTGGAGCAATCACCACTTTGTCCACCGGCGCCAAGATTAACGAATTCTAATTCGATAAAACACGAGAGTGATAACAGTGATTATTCTCATACGACGGATGAAAACAGACATTCCAATACATTGGATATAGATCATAGAATGTTAACGCCAATTAAGTCAGAACCCATAGATGCATACGAGATGCATCAGATGTCCAAAAAGAAGTTAAGTCCCATTACATCGAAGATTAACAAATCTTCCATGATAGTTACGCCAGAAATAAAGAAAGAGGTGGAAGACATGGAGTACGATGACATAAAAACGGAACTAAGTACGGGAGTGAACGAAGACGCCCCGTTAGAAACAGAAGAAGAAGAGGAAAACGATAAGAAAGAGCTTGATTTGGATAGCATCGACATGATGCAGCTTCCAATACAACTCGACGATGGAATTGATATATTGGATGATGTGAAGTGCGAAGATGAAGGAGTTATATCGATACCAGATAAAGAAATCGCTGTTCCATCTAATGAAGACGCTATCGACATTAATAATGGGGCAGAATTAATGCAGGAGACACATGCTTGTTTCTTCTCGCTGTTAAGAGATGCATTTACCTCAAAAGGTGAATACAGAATGAGCACAGGAGAAATGAGGGATGCTATTACTCAGTGGCAAGGAAACCCCATTTCACCATTAAATGATTGGTATTCTCTGGCATCCTCTTGGCCAGCGTTGGTTCCATTGGCTTTAGGATTTCTTGCTGGGGAACTCACTTACTCTCAAGAGATCGGTGACCGACAAGAAAGAGAATCAGAACTTGTTCCCTATTTAGAAAACAAGGGAAATGGAGTCTACGCATGGATCGGAGCTGGACGAGACTCAGACTCTCGTCTGTCGGACTTATGTGCAAAGTTCTTAATGCACAAAGATTCACTAGGTCTACCGTCTGCAATCTCCACTTGCTCTCCAGTAGCTGTGAAGCAACAAAATCAAGTGCCTCAAGCTAGTAACAGCAACGTTAACAGTAATTCTGGGAGTGGGAATGTAAATTCGAGCGGCAGAGATAGTAGTCCAGCGATAGAATCGATCAGTGTCGATGGTGGATCTATCAATACTGTTGCAGAATGGGAGCCACCTCGTGCTCTGTGGCCCACAGAATGGAAGGTTCGACCATCCACGGTGGAAGAACGAGAAGAATTTAGGAGGCAGGAACGTATGCGTTATGCTGCTCCTCATAAAGCATTTACATATAGAATGCACGGTTATGCCTCCGTCGTAGGTCCGGTGAAAGGCATTTATCAACACAATGTTGGTATGTTTGATTATACAATCTTTTATAAAAAAGATATATGTGTATAATTAAAGAAATTATTATTTATATTATATTTAATTCGTATAACAGCTTCTGGTTTGACCAAAGCTCGTGGACATTCGTTGTTGGTAGCAGATCGGCCAAACTTTGTGACTATCTTAGCTTTAGTCAGAGACGCTACTGCAAGGCTTCCCAATGGTGAAGGAACTCGGGCTGACATCTGTCAGCTACTAAAAGATTCTCAGTACATTAGGGAACAGACAGAAAGTGATGATAAGGAAGGATACTTACATTCTGTCGTATCTGGAGCTTTGGACAGATTGCACTACGAAACAGATCCCTGTGTACGATATTACCCACGACGCAAGGAATGGCTATATCTTCATCGAGCTCGTTCAGAATCAGAATTTGGTTTGTACCTTATTGAAATGTATTATTCTTATGTTATATATTTCATAGATGACGTCATACATTTTCTTCTCTTATAGAAATGTATCATCAACAACTACAAGGTGTTGCAAAGAATAAGAAGAATGGTGGCAGTATGTCTCGAAAGGCACTTCCTCCAGTCATAAAACCGGCTAATGTTAATA